GCCCCTCCCGAATGATGAATGTATGTTGCTTTACTATTTTATTATATGTTTTATGTCAATGTCTGTATTCCCTTCCCCGGATTTTATGTGAGCCGCCCTGAGTCCCCTCAGGGAAAAGGGCGGCCTACAAATATTAAGAAAATCTACAAATCTACAATCTACAGTGATGTTTCTGTATTTGAAGGAATCAAATACTTTTAGCCAATCTTCTTCTACGTCTTCACATTACTTGCATTTTCCAAGGTATTTCAGCTGAAGAGTTCTAGCACTGTGACTGATAAGGAAACAAAGGCAAGAATTAAGATAAGTCAAGAATCTATTGGCTGTCATTACACAACCAAAAGAAGGAATCTAGAATTCAGCAAGGGAACTAAGGATCCACTGAAATTGACCAAGTAGCTATTTCCTTCTATCCGCTAACAATAAAATATACTGTTTAACACCACGTCACGATTCATTTCTGTTAGAAAATCATTTATTTTAAAAGATCTGTCAATAAAAGTGCTCTTGTCACCAGCTGTTCTTAGTAAAACTTATACTCACATATATGCATTGCAGAAGAAACACTGATTATCATAGGTTTTTCCATCAGAGGCACAGTGCGGATTGTACTCCTTTGTGCAGGCTTCCTTTGGGTATCCCTTACAATAAATCTACACAAAAGGCAAATGATATATTTACTTTTCCTACTGTTCTTTATAGTAAGATAATAACTATTGATGTTAATATGTACTTTGTGCACATGATCATGTAAGACACCGATTATGCATTATTATTATGCTGTCAAGTTGTAATTCCATTTTTTGTAAGTCAAGTGAAGCTACGTCCAGTGGTCCTCTCTTGTTCCATATGGCTTTACTCTTCCTTGTGTGAGGAGCAAGTGGCAGTCCTTCCAGTAAGCCTTCCTTCCTCTTTCCATATCTTCTGCCAATTACTACCATTCCTGCTGCAGGAGACTTTTGGTCACTCATGTCTTGGTTTCTTTTCAAGTGAACTCTTACAATGCACAAGACTATCCTTGAAGAGACCCTGGAAGGTACAGATGATCTAGGAGTTATATTTTATTTTTCCTAGATCACCCCACTACTTCGGGAACTTCACTAGCTACCAATCAGTCTCCAGATGAAATTGAAGATGCTGCTTGTCACTTTTAAAGCCCTATATGGTTCAGGACTTGTTTAACTCAGGAACTACATATGCCCACTGATTTTGCTTATCTATAACATCTGGAAAGAAGGGATCCCTACTGTGAGGGATTGTCACCTTCACGGACCATGAAGCTGGGCCTTTTCCATTGCTGCATCCCATCTGTGGAACAGCATTCCTTCAGGAATCTGAAAACTACCAATCTTGCTGATATTTAGGAAACCTATCAAGACTCAGTTGTTCCAGGAAGCCTTTGAGAACTGATTTGAGAGATGGAACACTTCAACATATGATTGAATTAGATTATTTTTTTCTATTATTGTATTTTTAAAATCAGTTTACTGAATTTAAGTGTACACTACCCTGCTTCCCTCAAAATAAGACCTCCCCGGATAATAAGCCCAATCGGGCTTTTGAGCGCATGTGCTAAAATAAACCCTTCCCTGAGAATAAGCCCTCCCCCAAAATTTTTTGCAACACAGCAGCAGTCATGAGGTGACCACGCTTGCTGCTTCCTGCACCTCAAAAATAATAAGACCTCCCCAAAAATAAGGCCAAGCGCTTATTTTGGGGGCCAAAAGAAAATAAGACCCTGTCTTATTTTCAGGGAAACACTGTATTTAAAGATGGTTGTAACCAAAGTAACACTTAAGCCTGAGCTAGCTAAAGAATATAGATCCCAGCTATTATTAATGACACTGCAGAAACATACATCTGCTTTTATTATAGTATGTTGTATTTACAGTATATTATTCAAATTCTCTGAGTGATTTATACCTCCCACTTATTAAAAATCATATACATGCACTAATAGTAAAAGAACCATAAAAGTAACATTACACAATAGATTATATTGCAGAGTTTGTGATGTATTGTGATTTTAAGTGTGTACTGAGCCTTTCAGGACTTTGGGAGGATGAGTCAAAGGACAGGAGTGAGTGGATAAAAGGGAAAGAATTGGTGTGTTATGCTGGTGAATGTAATTGTTAGTTGTTATAAATTTACCTATGGGAAGAGAAAGGTAGAGAATCCATGCTACTATGTAACACTGCCTTGAGAATTTTGATGAGCCTTCTTCTTTTTCTAAGTACTTTTCTATGTACTTTTCTAAGGTACATTATCTTAATGAATTTAACCAGCATGTAATTACAGTACAGTGGTGAGTTCCGGCAGAGACTACTTCTGGTTCGTTCAGGGGTGTGCTGCGCGCATGTGCAATACAACTAAAATTGCTCTGCACATGCGTAGAAGCAAAAAACAAGATTGGCTTTGCCAATATGATATATCCAATAAACCTATTCTTTGAGGAGTTTATCTGCCCTGGAGTTTGATTTCCTATGGGTGTATTACTTGAAAGCCTGACACAATTCATAATCAAATCATGAAATGCAAGGGACTTGAATAAGGAAAAAAAAATGTGACTCACCTTGAGATCTTTTGCAGTGGCAACATCTGCAACCCAAAATTCCAAATGAAAACACTTAGAAGAAATCTATACCATCTTATATTTTGTTGAATTTGAATTTGAATTTGAATTTATTAAAATTTATAGGC